AGGGGAGGGAATATTCTAGGTGGTTCTCATTGCACTCACCTAACCTGTGGCAACTGTCACCAGCCTGTGTCTGATTTTCCTATATCTATGGACTTGCCTGAAGAAGGACAGTAATGAAAACCTGTAACTGCATTGACATTCCTACGGCAGGGCAAACGCTAAGGTGTTTCCTGGAAGATGTAAGATTAAAGTGATATCAGTTACCGGAAGGCTGGGGCTGGGTCCGGCCTCCAGTGGGGGTGAAAATCACATCTCAAGGTTTGCTTCCTAGCCATTTTCTGCTCCTGAGTTCAAAGAGAAATAGCCAGGCAATCCTCTGCTTTGAATTGAAACCAATCACACCCAGATGAAATGATAAATCATTTTAAGCAAGGCACTGGCAACTTTCTATAGGAAATTAAACTATACCTGAACTTACAGAGGGTGGCTAAAAAAGCTCTCTTCTTAGTGACATGACTGAATAGCTTGGATGTTCCAGAATTCAGATCTTGCTCTGAGCTTGAATTTATCTAATGTGTGAACCATTCGAACTACCATTCATCTAATATTTGGACCCCCTGGAGTTACATCGCCAATAAGCTGAGAAAGAACACGATTGCGTTTGAAACACATAGTCATATTTCTGACTAAACGTGGTGGAATACATTTTATTCCCTGCCTAATAAAATTGTTAGTCCCTGGGCAGAGTGAAACTATATTTTCAAAAGAGACCAGGTCTCCATTTCTGATGCTTCTGTAACATGTATCAGATTTGTGATAATGAACATGACCATTGAATAAAACTTTGATCCACTTGCTCCAAAAAATATGTATGATGCACCTGTAACATGAATCCTTTAAAAAAGGGGGCATGGAATAGTCATTTTAGATATTTTGTTTTTCTCCTTCCTCTAAAATGTGGGTGCACTATAGCATGGATAGATGGTGACCAGTCTAGTCTAGAGAAAGGAACAGTGCTGGGAACCACTTCCAAAGAATTTCAATGAAGCTAAAAGTCATCTCCTAATGAAAACCAGCCAGATTTTAACTGCATCCAGAAATAACCCTAAAAATTAACCTGTGATTAATGTCATTTGACATCAGGCTCCTTTAGTGGGATTAAATTGCTTGGTGTAGCGTGAAATATTAATTTATAAGTGTGCTTCTTATAGTAAAAGGAAACAAGGAGAGAGTTAAAAAAGTCACACAGAAATGAAAAATGTGACTAGTGTCCCCAGAAGGTTTTGGCAGGAATCCCAAACGTCTCAGCCTAAAGAAGAGCTGCCGTGTGAAGGCGGTCCCAGTAGGAGTGGTGGGTGACCCTGCGACAGCCCACACAGGAGGGCTCCTGCCAGGAGGAGGGGCGTGGAGGTGAAGCACAGACAGTGAGCAAGAGCTCTACAGTGAGAGAAAAACAGTTACTACACAGATAGTTAAAATACTTAGATTAAGGCTGAAATTACTCTAAACCAACTGAAAATCTGTTATGTAAGAAGAAGAGAAAGAGAGGAAAGAGATACAGGGAGAGAGAGAGAGAAGCCAGAAAAGCCAGAATACTTTTCCCTTGAATAGAGTGTCAGGGAACAAATGTGAGTGGATTCTTTGCAGTGATAATCAAAAAGGCTTATGTAATCAACAACATGAAAATCCTGGGGTAGGCGAAGGGCGTTTTCCCCAGTCACTGTATAAGGCTGATTACAGACTAGCTCTGATGTCGTTCAGAAGGCATCATTTAGGAGGCATTTCCCCTGAAGCCCAGCGATGCTTTTTTGAAATACTAGTTTCCTCCTCTCAGGGAAATAGAATGACCTTTTAAGCTTAGAAAATATTGGTGGGAGGTATTCGAAAGAGCGGCTAACACGATACACACTGAGAACATTTTTCTTATAGGAGAGTGATGATATGGGTGGAAGCACCCAGTGAAAATCCAATCCAGGAACAATTAGGAAACCATCTGGCTACATCTCACCTCCAGACTGTGGACTTTGCGTAGACACAGAGCAATCCCGCACAGCACACAAGGGACGCAGGGCTGTAACCCCAACTCCCCACTGCAGCGACCCCGAACACTTCATTTATAATCTACCAGGCCTCCCAGTGCCCACCTGCCATTTAAATTTTAATTCCAGAGCCATTTTGCAAATTTGGAGATATAAGAATATTTTAAACTCGATAATGCCGAACGTAAGATTATCTCATTTCTTCAAATTGGGTAGGGTACAAACACATATATGCTAATAAGTCCATGTTCCTTAATGCCCAATCTATATATTTTCACAGATCTGAAGGATCATTGATCAATAAGAATGTGTTTCCATGTCCACCCACGCCTTTATTGCAGTGCCCTGAGGCATTCGATGAAGATGTTCAATCTTGTTCCTACTTTCAATAATTATTCAACCAACTGTCATGTGTTATGTATCAGTTGTTGGTGAGTAATTTATCTTCCTTTTTTCCTTACTGGGGACCACTATGAATTGTATAACACTCTGAAATGCTCAGAACCACAGGATCATTAAAAACTTTACATCCAGATACCCTGATTTCTCAAGATACATCTTGAAATGCTGTCGCCTCATGCAGGGAGAAGTGGGAGTTAGTGGGTGGGAAGGCAACACTAGATTAAAACCAAAAGGCACCAGAGCTAAACATCTCCTCCTCACCTGACCGGAGGCAGCTCGGAACTTGGGGAGCAGTTCACTATATACAGCGACGGGCAGCAGGAAGCGAGCTCTACGTACCATTAATGCTCTTGGTAGGGGCGTGCCGCCACATGAGTTCTATCAGAAAGATGGGAAATAAAAGTCGACTTGGATTAAACGTCAGTTCTCTCAAGTTTCCATAACACGGAAAATTTTTTAAAAGTTATTTTCAATTATATGTCAGTACTGTAAATACTTTCTTCAGTGGCATCATTAATGTTCAAGGTTTTTTCTTTGTGGGGTGAGAGAAGGTGTACAGTCTATCCAAATGCTGAACAAATGGTTATTTTACAGACTGGCTCTTCAGGAACGTCACGATGGACCGGACGGGTGGGCATCCAGGCCAACTGGCTGGCCAGGAGCTCCCTGGAGTGCCATGAAATCCAGAAGTCAGAATAAGGCTAGTTTCGCAGCAACCTGCAGGACGATTTCCCCTTCATCGTGTCTGTGCCTCTGCTCTCCTCGCTCAACTCCCCGAGCGGTGACACAGGAAATGCATCAAGACCAAGGGGAGAGTGGCTCAGACCTCAGATAATCGCCTCTGCAGATGCAGGCCAGGTTGCATCCTGGGCCTCCTCAGGCAGGAATCATTCCACGTCCAAACACACAAGTTGCTTCTAAGAATTCCACAGTATTCCCCAGACTGAGAAGGCGGGCGATCCATGGCGAACCACTGTATGGCTACATCGTATTCTTCATCTAATCAATACTGTGGACCGAAGAACTCCTTGTGTGTGTGTGTGTGTGTGTGTGTGTGTGTGTGTGTGTGTGTGTNCACTCCTTGTGTGTGTGTGTGTGTGTGTAGGGGGCTCTCATATGTAAAGGGACTACTTTCTTGAATTAAAACATCATGAAGACTTATGCTCAAGAGCAAGAAGAGGCTCCTATTTCTAAAGACTCCTTCCAATGTAGGTGGTACATTTATTAAAAAGCTCAAGGAAACAATTGACTTGTTAGAAAAATGGACTGAACACAATAAAAAAACTCCACACCATGGTTCACTCAACAATGTTCAAATAGTGTAGACCAGATTTTCACAATGTCATATTTAGATTTTTGTTTTTAAGGACATCTATTTTTGGCAGCAATGGGACACTCGTGGCTTGAAATGCACTTGAAATGTATCCAAACTTCATCTCTGAAGTCTCAGAGACATGGGCAGTCATGGAGCACAGGCCTTGAGGAACTGGAGAATTACAAGAAGCCAAAAATATAAAAGCTATTAGTACTCATCATAATTATTGAGATCTGTAAAGTAGGCGTTAGAATAAGTCTTCCCAGTGAGATGTGGGTTGAAGTATTTGTTTCTTTCCTCTAGTATCAGGTTGTTTTTATTAAATGCCTGTAAAACATAAAAATAAAAGATTGAAGTACTATTTCAGAGAGAGAATATAACTAGGAGACGGTTATGATGAATTTGAGCTTCTTCTAAGGGTCAGTGACTGGAAAGTGTGTTTCCTCGCTTACAGCTTCTTAACTTTATCGGCCTTACAGAGGATCTGCCTCATACCTACAATGAGGTTGGCAGTTTCTGGCATCTTCCAATCTATTTCTGAGTTTTAGGCAGGAAGTTTCCTAGAGTTAGAAAACCTAAACCTAAATCTCAAAGAAGCCTAAAACTATAGTGAATTCAAAGTAACAATGCGTGGAATGTTATCACACATAACTGAGTACATATTTAAGCGGCTTTCTGATTACCGTGGATAGGTACAGCGGTAAGACGTTTTGATGGAATTTATTTAAGTAAATGCATGGAATTTCAAATGACAATTTCCTTTCTTTTTCTGCACTTGTTAGAAGGTGGCTGCTGCAGGCATGGACACAGATGTTTCTTCCTTATTAATAGCTACTAAAGACACTTGCACTTCCAAAGAGCTGAAGTACACCAGGTGGAGGGTAAATATTGAGAGAACCAAAATAAAGGTGAGGGACTGTAGGCTGAGGCTAACTGTCCAGGACTAGATGGACAAGGCATCAGAAAAAAGTTCTAGGAGGATTCATTAGTGACTAGGCAGTGGTCAGTGCTCCAGGTCCTTTGTCCTCATAGCAGCAAGATTTCTGATTATTTTAAGTGGCTACTGGATCTTAAAAAAGATCAATTAATTTTCTTCAGATGCTTGAAGTATTAAGAGTGACCACAGATAAGCTGAAAGGTTGGAATCAAGTTAGAGAAGCCCCGTTCTTTGGTTCTGAAGGACTGTTTGAAAGGTTCTTGCTCACAGAAGGAGCCCAGGTTCCTCCTCATGCTGGGGAGCTCAGTTCTGCGGGGATGTGAGGGGATGTTGTTAATTCTTGCTGCTTCCCTCCCCACCTCTGCCATCGGACTAGGACAAGGTGCTGATGGGTGCTGGGTGTGGTGTAAGCAGGGTCCATGGCTGAAAGTCATCGGTTCTGCCTCTGTCCAAGTGGTGGAGAACATGAGCCTCCTGGCAGGGGGAACGAGTGAGGACACTGTGGCTCTCAGGACATGACCTTTCAGCCACCTGATGCTGAAGATATTCCATAGGCCCACATGGGAAGGAAAAGGAACTTCAAAGGAAACCATCATAGCAGAGAGAGTGCACCAAAATACTCCCTAACAATGTGAAGGGGAATCACCACATTAAAGGGAATATAAAAACATAGGGAACTGAGTGCATGAGAATTTCTTTCATTCACATGGGTAGCAAGGAGGCTGGGTGCAGTAGGCAAGAGTAGATAAGGGCCCCTGATATCTTTCCAGTTACACCCCTGTGTAGACACAGTAAGGACAAGAGCTACTATTTGCTGGGTGCTGGGCCTCAAATACCTTAGAGTATTTAGACCTCACAACAGTGGTATTGTTTCCAATTTATTGAGAAGAAAACGGAGGCTCAGTGAGTGTGAATAACCATCTGGTAAGTGACTCAGGAACCCAGGCCTGCCAGCTCCAACGCTGATACCCTTCCTGTCCCTTCTTCCTGGGAATGAGGAGCCTGGTCACTCACCCTAAGTCTCTGGGGCAGACACCAGGTTAATTACCTGTTGGGGAAATTTACAAAATCCACCAGTCACAGAGCCCTTTACATCATGCACAGCTTCGGTGTGCTTGAAAATTATTTGAAGACAGTCCTTATAATGCCATAACAATTTTTCTCAGATTGTCATCCTGTGATTCCTGAAATGGACCTGCATATCCGATTGCCCAGCCCTGGTTCTCATTACACTGCCCAGTGTGCACTGGTCCTCTGCCTGGAGCAATTCTCTTTGGCATGACCTCCCTTTGGACGCAAAAGGCACAGTGAAGGCAGACCTGGACCCTAGCCAATGACCTAATATTTTCTAGCATTTATTTGTTGCTGTTTCCATGCCCCATTTTTAACTACATTCCCAGTAAGGGATGCCACCTTTTCACAGGCAAAGCAATGCTACAAAGGCAGTTCATCAAAAGCAAGAGTCCATTACCTTGTCCCCATGTCACTTGCACCCCTGCCATTGTACTTTGCCAACAGTCCCTGGGTCCACCTGCCTTCTTTGTACATCTGGCTGCTGTGGTCACTGCCCATCCCTTACCTTGATGGCCTCCACTGAGTCATACTTGTCCAGTTTGTTGATGTGGTTAGTTATGCTGGTGTTGAGAGGGGCGGGTGCGATGGGGTGGATGACAGTGGCATCGTGGGATTGCTGCTGGTACCGCTGGCAGTAGGTGTAGACGAGGAGTGTGAGAAGGCAGCCCAAGATGGAGCTGCTCAGCCCCACGGCGACCATGTGGAACATGTTGAACTCTGGGAAGAGAGCATCGAAAGTGATGCTACACTGGAAAGGAACACGCTACACAACAGCTCAGTGCTTTGGTGAAAAGAGAAAGACAGAATGGAAAACCCCGTAGCCATTCAAAATTAAGCCATATGCCAATTCCTTTAAAATGGCATGGCCACCGGGACACTTCTCCAAAGTGAGCCCAGCATATTTTAAGTTAATGCACTATAATCAGAGTTTTGGAGATCTCCTAATACGCTAGCAGAATCATGTTTTCTTACTTAAAGGCCTAAACAAGAATGCTCTTCTGTCTCAAGTGCAGCTTTGTGGTCTATGGGGTTTCTAGGAAACATATTTCCCAAGCTCCTGGACAGGCTGGGGTCCCTCCCACAAAGGCAGAGGGCATTGACTGCCTCCAGCACTGCTCGCCTGCAAGTCAGGCTATTTCTCCCTTCCCTTTATTATTTCATTTTATTTTAAAATGTGTTCCACTTACATAATTCTCATGGTTTTCATTATAATTTTATTATGAATATAAACACATTATATAACATTAGAAAGTGTAAAAGGGAACATACGAATAAGTCTTTTTTCTTTCCTAGAGGGATGACTATAACCCCTTTCTGGTGTGCTGTTTCCGAGATTCTCTGCAGTGTTGTGGTGTGTGTGTGGTGGTGGTGGTGGTGTGTGTGTGTGCATACATATTATCCTGGGTACCACTTTTTTTTCACTTACATTGTATTTTGGAGAAATAAAGGATTTGTGTCAAAGGAATAAAATATGATCTTTTAATGGTCATGAAATCGCCCTCTTTTTACATTTTTTTCTTTTTGATAGAATCTTTGAGTTATTTTCCTTGAGTTATGAGTACACAGTGTTGACAAAGTGAGCGGGCATGGATTTATGACTCTAATACAGCACTGGCTTGAGTGACATCAGGTAACATAAGCAAAAACTGCATAAAGTCTGAGAAACAACAGAAAAAAAAAGTATTCATGTTGTGTTTATAAGACACTTTACAATTACAGTTTGAAGACTTTTGGGGACTAAAGACAACATCTGGGCAGTGCTGGTGAAGCTGTACTTTGGGAAAATTAGGTAAATCAGAACACAACCTGATTTTTCTGCTGTGTTGGCCCCGTGAGGCTAGCCAGTTGTTTGTGGGTTACTGGCCTTAACTGTTTCCCCTGCACAAGTCACATCCTGAGGACCTGGCTTTCCCCCAGGGTGTCCCCTCCATTGGCCACCAAAGGGTGCATTGTCACTCAAGTTCAACACCCCCTTCCTCCCCAATCTGTCCACACTGCCCCAAATGTAACTAGAGGAAATGCCCGCTGGGCACCATCAACCCCAGGTGAGTCTGCAAAGCTGCAAACTGAGGCCCCCAGGGCTCTCAGGGAGAGGAGACATGCAGGTCTGTCCCCACCACCCCGGCTCCGCACCAAGGACTTTTCAAGCAGCCTTTACCTCACCTGTGATCCACAGCAGAGGCTGAATATCTCTCACCTGTCCCTAACCCCTGACTTATTCCTCTAGGCTGTGCACTTTTACTGCGTTCTGGGGACCCAGGGCCTTGAGAGGTAGGTCCTCCTTCTGAGGTGGATGGTCACTGTACTGAGGCTGCCTCTTTGGTTCATTGTGAGCACAATCCGCGTGCTCCTGCCCCCACTGAGACTCCAAAGGACAGGCATCCCCACCCCAGAGGTCCAGAGTCTCAGCACCAGGCTGGGTGATCCAGGAAGATGTCACTAGGACATTCCACAGGTGTCACCCACTCCCGCCATACACCTCAGTTTTTCACTTCTTGATTATTTGGCCAGTGGTTTGACAAAGTGAAAAGACTTCCCAAATCTTTGGCTTTTCCTGATTTTGCTAGAAGCCTCTAGGGTGGACAGCTCCCAACTGGGGACAGTTGGATAAAGCCCCGGGTAAGCGCCACCAGCGACCACTACAGGTCTTACTGTAACAGAAGCCGTGCTGCAGGTTCCCCTGTGTGCAGACTTCATAGTGTTGTTATTTCTTCATGCTTTAGAGTTCAGACTCCCTGAGGTCAATTCCAGGTATGGATTTAAGTACTTTCTGCTGCACTGATAACATGTTTTATTATAACACAGGGAAGATGTATGACTCTATCCACATGCAGATACTTCGTCATTAGTCAAATGAATCATTCCTGCAGGTGCCTGGGGAAGCCTGGGGCCACTGACATCTTTATGACGATTACATAGTCCGTGTGTCTCATGCAAGTAAAAACAGCTCTCTAAGATGAAAAATTTCAACAGACTCACATTTTTCTGCATAAGGGAAAATAGTGCCTATTAAATCTCTTCAATTTGCCTAGTTTGACTCTTTCTTTGAATACGCTTTTTAGGCTGGTATTTTTGGTCAGTAAAGCTGGAACAGAAACCAATTACCCAGTTGGTTCAACTGCCTGATTTCCTGTGCAAAATGTGATTGATTTTTTGCAACAGACTAAAAAAAAATATCCATGTTATCTCCCCAAACATCCTTGTGACGTATTTGTTTTTACCTATCAGCCTAACAATCAAATCCATCTGACCTCTTACTCAACTATTCTGGTGTGTCAATGTCAGCAGCTTAGAGATCTAAAAAATTAGTTTTGAATATTGTAGAGTCATTGAAGCTTCTATGATTTAATCAATCGTGCCTCAAGGCTCAATTCTATGCAGTCATTTGGCACAGCTGGCTCAGACACACAACAGTAGCATTTCAGGACTGGAATCGGCTTTGCATGATGTTTTCCTGGGTACTCATAGCCTTGGAAGTACTCCCATCTCCTAACCCCAAGAAGGCCAGCTGAGGAAAGTGGTTTTCAAACTTGTGGCAGAGGCGAAGGGACTGCCGACTCTGTAGAGACATCAGCTGGTGGCCTCCCTCAGGACAGGATCACCCCCTACAGACACCACACACTCTGGACCTTCACTGCCTCCTGAGGGCAGCAGACATCATGGACTCTGGTGTTGTTCAAGAGTGTCCCCTGACCAGGGTTGCTGTGGCTCCAGCCCCCCAGACACAATCCTATTTTCCTGCTCTCTAAGCTTCAAGTTCACACTGCGATCCCACTGCCTGGGCTCCTCTATGGACTGCCTGTGTGAACTTCAGCCAGGGATCTCATCTCTCTGACCCTCACAACCCCCACTTACAACATGCAGGTAAAAACCCATGGCTGATAACACTTTTCTACAATTCCCAAAACCAAAATCTCTGACAAGTGATTTCTCGTCACTTACCAAGCAGCAAAGCATGACCTGACCATTTGCTGCAGAACTGACCAGAACTGCCAGGAGAAGCATTAGCATATTCACTGGACCCCCACGTCACAGCAGCTTCATTACAGGAATTGGTTATGAAGTGTGGCCCCAGACCCTGCAGGTGCATTATGTAATATACAGGACATGCCCCATTCGGCCCATCTATACCCTGGAAAGTATTCAACTCCAAAACCCTTTCCTATCTTCAGGTTTGTTTGTTTTTACATAAAAAAAAATTGTGGACTTTGGCACCTACATGGGTGCTCTTTGTGAGGATCAGATAGGTTCCTTCTTGTCATTTAATACAGTGTTTGGCACAGAGTGACTGATCTCAAAATATGAAGGGATTCTTGTGATTACATTTATTTAAAGTGGCATATACTCACCTTACAGTTGGATCCTAAGCTAGTGACTGCCAGTCTGTGAACTCAGTGACCTGAGCCCAGTGGACAAGAACTGGGCTTGGACAGTCAGTCCTTCCCATCCAGACAAGACAGTCATAGATAATTAAGTCTAAATTTATCATAGACTTGAACCAGAAAATGGTGATTTTTGTCATTCAGGGTTCTGGGAAGTTTGAAACATACGTCTAGAGATAGAGGTAGAACATGCTCCCTTAAAATTTTGTCATTCCAGCAGTCTAGAGATTTGAGGCTGGCTGCCATGAATTATAAATATAAACAAAATGTTTGAATACTGTTTTACTCATGGGAACTCCAATACCTATATTTACTACCCATATAGTACCAAGATATCAAGATCAATGGTTCATAAAGCTTAGTATTCAGCAGAATCACCTGAAGGGCTTATTAAACCACAGAGTGCAAAGTCCACTCAAAGAGATTCTAATTCTGCACATCAAGGTGGGGCCTGAGAATCTATATTACTCTCAGGACCTTTGGTGATGCTGGTGATGCTTGTATAGGGACTCCACTTGAGAACTACTAATCCTTGGGATCCAGGGTTTTCTCTAGCCTGGTGTGTGTGTGTGTGTGTGTGTGTGTTTGCCAACAGCAGAAATATCATTCGGCCAACAGCAGAAAATATCATAAATCAATTAGAATGTAGTTAAAAGAAAGAACTTACCTCCACACCTTTTCTCTTCTACGCTGCTGGACCTTGCCACAGATACTTCTGGAAAAACAAAAATCCAATCACAATGTGTAAAGGGTGTTGGGAACAAAGGTCATATTACCGATTCATTTACAAAACACCTAATGATTTTGAGTTTTATGTAAGTCAAAGTTCCAAAAGCCTGATTTTTCAAATAAAGTTATATTTGTTTCTTTGTTTAACCAACTTGAGCTGTATTCGGTCAAGGTCATCTTGATTGGGAAGGGGTGAGGTTCATTATCACAGATAGAAAATGCAATTGTCCCCTGAGCTAAAGCCAGGGCACTAGCTTCAAAAGAAGGCCAAAGAATGTGCTGCTTTTCTGTTACAATACATCCTGCCAGCTGTGGAACCCCACAGTGTTGGCCTGTGGTATGTCTGCCTCAGATCTGTTGTTTCATCAAAGCCCCTGGTGTCACATTCCCTGCAGAGGGGACCAATGCACCAGAGCTCCACGGAAATGGCCAGAACAAATAAAGTCCCTATTCAAAGACCATTCATGTTCTCCGGGCACACATGAGACACCAATATGAGGAGAAATCCACCTAAACAATGAAACATCAATTCAGGAGGCCAGAAACGTTATCCTCTCCTGTACTGATTTTTCATTAGATAACAAGAATTGAAAATATATCTATGATGAAAAAGGGGAACAGCAATAATAAATATTGCAGTTTTATACCACACATGATCAAAGTACCCTATAGGGCTAAGGCTAATAGTTTTCTCTAAAACATTCTCTCTTCCATAAATGGAGAAAAGTAAGTTATTACCTACTATTGCTTTGTAAGAGGTTGGTCTCTGCTTTGGTCCATGTCTGAGCCCTAACCCACACAGTGGGCACACGTGAAATGACGTGTCAGTATATACACCAGACCTACAGTGAGCAGGTGACAGGTGACTTCCNGCACACGTGAAATGATGTGTCAGTATATACACCAGACCTACAGTGAGCAGGTGACAGGTGACTTCCTACCACTAATAACTAAACATCAATTTCACATGGAAAGCCAGTGGCAAGAGGGCCAGTCACCTCTTCTCCAAGATAAGAGCAGTGGTTATGGGTTACCCTTTCCCAGGTGTATTAAGACTTCATAAAGAGAATGGTCCTTCTCCATGCAAACAGATGCACATAAGCATCATCAAAACACTTTACTTAATAATTAAAAACCAAACACACCACCTTCATTTTTTGAGCAAAATTTTCTGCATGCATTACAGTCAATAAATTGTAGAAGACCACGCTGTGTTAAAAATATGTCCAGGGTTAAAAAAATTTTTAAATGCATAGACTAAATTTAAGTCTAAAACACAGTTATCTATAAATCTAAACATTAATCACCCTGAAACCACAAGAGTTNCTTCTGCATGCGTTATAGTCAATAAATTGTAGAAGACCATGCTGTGCTAAAAAATATGTCCAGGGTTAAAAAATTTTTTAAATGCATAGACTCAATTTAAGTCTAAACCACAGTTATCTATAAATCTAAACATTAATCACCCTGAAACCACAAGAGTTGATAGAATCACCTGTTTCACCAAAAGGGACCTCAAAGGACAATTAAAACTCTAACCAACGACTCATTTCCTATTCGAATGTGGGCAGTGATTTTGCTCATACTCTGCCCTTACCTGGGATGAAATTGGAATCAAAAATACACGGCCGGCTCTCCGTGGTGTTTCCAGAACACTGGCTGCCCACGGGGAACAGAAGGATGCACTGGCGGGCTCGGACCTGGACTCCGGACACATCACACTCAGACCAGTCTGACCACTCGGACCAGCTCTCTGCAGTGACCGCCAGTGGGGACAGGAGAAAACAAGACCCGCTCAGATCAGTCAACCGGGAAGCAGTGTGACTTTCACATATGATTTGATGTCCTCCTACCAGGTTTAATGGATCTGTATATAAATAAGACGTACTCCTATCTTCTTACAAGTCCCATAGATAAGATACACATGAGCAAGAATAAAAGAACTGGTGTATCACTGACCTGAAATAATGTTCTTAAATTACATTTGCCAAAACCACATTATTTTAATGCTTTAAAGCAACTGAATTAGACAATCAATAAGCTAATCACTGATGTCCAGCTGTGCACAAACCATCAGCAGCGGGGGAACAGGAATCATCGAGACAGACACTGTTTCTGCCAGGGCCACGCTCCTCTGCCAAGAGCAGCCCTCAGAGGCTTTCCTGAGAGACTCCCCTACCCTCAGCGCTCGGGCGAGGAAAGCAGTGCATTCACGAGAAACCCACACTGCAAGTGTCTCTTCTCTTATAAAAACAATTCCGCACTATCAATATCCCAAAGTCGGGCTATACTTGAGGCAGAACTCATCTCGGTCCCTGTTTGCTGTCACGGAAGCTCATGAGATCAATGCACAAGTCTTGGGTGAAGGCCAAGAGCTGAGCCATAACAGGACCCTTCTCCCAGAAGTGAGTTTCTAGGATTTGTTAAATTTGCCCAGGTTTGCAGAAGTGTGACAGACAAATACTCATATTTGAAGTCTTTATAAATATGGACTCTCAATATTATTTATGAAATATTAATCAACATAAAAATATTACCTATGAAGCTTGCTTCCCCCCCACCCCTTTTTAAAGGCAAGATATAAGCATCATCTTTGCAGTTCTGGGGACATTTGGAAATCACACTTGTTCCTTGATCAAGTGGGAAGAGAGATCCACATAAAGGGTACAATTTTCCCTTAGAAATCTGCCAGTTTTCAGAATGATTCTGAGAATCTGGTTTCTAGGCACTTTTCAATATAAATGGTACCCTCTAGAAAGATCTGTAGGAACAAGTTTTAAAAAGGTAAAAGTGTTTTCAATGTCAAAGGTAGGTCTCATTTTTATCCCAAGTAGTTCTCACATGTCATAAAATGAAGCTGATTCTTGAATGGGGAGGCTGCAGTCGCTCATCCAGTGGGCACCAGCATCAGGCAGCCTCGGACCCCCACCCCCAGGGCCCTGAGGCCACTCCTGTGAAGCAGCTTCACACGGTACCTCCATGCTCCTCACCCTGATTCTCAACTACAAAATCTCAGATTTCATTATGAGGTTAAATATTTTATGAAAGCTTTGCTCTAACCAGTTTCTGCTCCTCTCACCATGGCAGATGAGAACCATTTTATTGCAGAGCACGTGTTAGGAAGTCACTGCCAGGGTGACAGAGAGGGGTTGATGTGTTCCCCTCTTTCAGTCTGTGATGTGGCATCATCCATGTCACCATTTCTCAGTCAAGGAGAGAGGCACATTTGCCCAGAAGTCCCACTGCTTACCAGGGCAGGGCTGCGTGTTGCAGAGCGCCTCCTCCGTGTGCAGCCCCAGGCAGATGTCTCCCCCATAGGCTGGGGCTGGGTTTGTGCAAGAGCGGGTCCTCATGTAGTGTCCACCGCCACATGTCGCCGAGCATTTTGACCAGGGGGACCAGCAAGACCACACGCCATCCACTGGGAAAAGACACAAAGCCACATTGCTTCTGAAATGCAAATCTAACCAATCTCATGAGGCTGCAGATAGAAGGTGCAGCAGGACCACATCCATGAAGCCACTGACCACTCACAGCCTCCCTTACTGAGTGTGTTATGATTTGCTCCAGGACAGAGAGAAAGAAACGGTAGCAGGTCCTGTGAGGAAGGACTGTGGGAACTCTCCGTTGATACAGGCACCAAACTAAGTTCATACCATGCAGCCCCTGGCATGTTTATGTGGCAGACTATACAGAGGACCTGCTGCTACCTGAGGCCAGATTTCAGGCTGGATATGAGGGAGTTTTGTAACTCCAACACTAGGCAGAACTAGTTCCTGATGAACTGTTGCCAGGCCTTTCCTGTGACTTTGTGCAGTTCTCCTGCTTTCTCCAGGCTGGGCTCCCGGTACCTGTGGACGGGCCTCCTGAGCACTGGGTCAGCTGACCCACCTGGATCTCAGTGCTCCCTCCTACATTAGGTGACTTTGTTAAACTGAGACCTCATGCTGGCTCTGTCATTGTCAGATATGATCTGCCTTTTGTCTAACTCTTTGCTGACCTTCCCTCTTGCCAGCCACCTGCCCTGTTTTACTTGGTCCCAGAGCAAAGCTGCAGGACTTTGTCAAGATGTCATTAGACTCCAATTAGCAAAAACAATTATAACCACAGCAAACTACATAAAATAGCTGATGAAAGACTCACTTTCACTATATGTAGATAGTATTATGCTTTATTTTCTCCATGTCCTACACAAAATAAAACAGAAGCAACCAGGAAAGGGAATGCCAAAGTTGTTAAAGACACAAGGCTGCTTTGGCTAGAATGACCTAGTTTATATTTCAATACACTCATTGTGATTTAATGCATCTTTATGTAGTTATATATCTCTTTAGATACAGGCATAGGTAGAAATACCATGTTTATGATGACATTTTAATTTGTCAAAAGCAAAAACAGAGCAAAAAAACCTTTGACATGTAACTGGGAATTCTGTGATTTGATCATTTATTCAGTTTTGGAGAATTTAATATTTTCCCCAATAGGCAATAAGCGTGATATCTGACAGTGGCTGCAATACCAGAAAAACAAGGCGGGTATGGTTTTGCCTAGAAATTTAAACTTTTCTAACACCCACTGCCATGTCTATTCTCACTGGGGGAACACTTGCTGGCAGGTTTCCTCTATCTGTAAGTCGAGCTGAGGCTTGGTCTTAAGTGGGTACACGTGCACACCCCACACTGAGGCACAGATAAGTCACAGTGCCTTCGAACAGCAGGTGTCACAGAGCTCAGATGTTTGAATGTACGCAAGGCAGCCTGGGGTTCAGGAGGGTCTACTGCCTCATCTGGATTGGTGTTGGAACCAGACTTAGACACAACCATGTGATCTGAAGATCCTACGCTTTTCTATTGCATAATGAACCTGCAGAGCAATGGCCAGTAGGCATATGAAAAGATGGCCAACATCATTAATAGGTGAGGAGATACAAATCCAAACCACAAGGAGATATCACCACACACCTGTCAGGATGGCTATTATAACACAAATGCTAGATAACAGGAGATAGCCGTGTCGGCAAGGGGGAGAACAAATGGAAACCCTTGTATTCTGTTGGTGCGGCTGTAAAATGGTGCAGCTGCTATGAATAACAGTGTGGTGGTTCCTAAAAAAGTGAAAATGAAAATGAAAAAATTAAAAAACTATCATATGATCCAGCAATCCCACTCCTGGGCATGTATTCAAAAGTATTGAAATCAAGATCTCAGAAAGAAATCTGCACCTCCATGTTCAATGCCGCATTCTTTACAATGCCCAAGATGTGGAAACACCATAAATGTCCACTGACAGATGAATGGGTAAAGCAACTGGGGAATATATGTACGAGATATTCCATTAAAACCAAGGAAATCCTGTCATATTCCCAAAAGGGATGAATCTGGAGGAAATTATGCTAGTGAAATAAGCCAAAGAAAGACAGAAAGACAAATACTGCATGGTTCTCCTTATATGTGAAATCTAAAATTGTCGGACTCATAGAGGCAGAGAGTAGAATAGTGGTTGCCAGGAGCTGGGGGAGGGGGAATGAAGAGATGCTGTTCAACACGTATGACGTCTGTCATGCAGCATGAATCTGCTGTGCAAGGCTGTGCCCAGAGCTCCAACACTATTGTTAACACATTTTGATCCAAACATTAGACCCTCATTCTGTTCTTTCTCACTCACACTTACTTTTTTAATAAAAAAGACAAAATGAACTATGTTACTTGAATTTGAATATTACTTAGTAAAAAGGACCACCCGTAGTCTCCGCCTTGGTTGGCCAAGGTCTGGTATCCACAGTTCTGAGTCAAACATGGACTGGACAGGAGTGAAGGAGAAACACCGAGCTGTTTCTCTCTGTTGCAGGTAAGTTATATAGGTGAAGGTACTAGAAGGATCAACCCACAGGAAATTGAAAAAACTAATTTTACCTTGTTGCAATTTATCATACACATTAGAACTGGAGAGCAAATTTGAAAGATATTTTACATTCACCTAGTTTGCTCAGATTTATTTTCAAACTTAATCATAATGAGGAAGCTTGTTTTTTTATAAAATACAGTGCCTGTTTGCACATGTGTACTATGGACCCAATAGGGCTATGGGAGAGTAAATTCAGAGGGAGGAGAGTGTCTGAAATTAGGTAAAAATAGCCCTATAATTGGACCTCTTGGTGGCTGAGCAGCTCTGCATCCAGAGCCCTGAGGCTCTGACCCTCCACAATGAAATACACGCTGTCACATGTTCAGGAATTTTCTAGGAGGTGGGACAGAGAATTGACATTTGCCCAACTCAGTCCCTCAAACCCACCCACACCCAAGTAGAATCTGAAGAGGGCCACTCTGAATATTTTCACAACCCTTTAGGAATCTTGGCTTTCATCAAGAAAATAAGGATAGAGCTATTTCAGGACATTAAGGTTATATACACATAATACTGTCTTAACCATCAATTCAACTAAAACAAAAACAGTGACCAGATCATGCTAATGGGTGTCTCTGACATGGGCCCTGAGCCTGCTCTCAAGGACAGGGAGGCGTGCTGGCATCTGGAGAGTCTGCCCGTTCTGCTGACGGCAACAAGGACTCATGTCTGGAGCCTGGGAGGCCAGAGTACGTGGAGGTATCCTGACATTCCCATGTCACCCTGCCCGCTCAGTTTACAGCCTGGACCCTAATCTAATGATGCCCATGCTCTCCCCCCCGGCCCTGGGGGAGGAACCCTCCACTCTCGGTGCTGGGCTGTGGGAAAAAGCTGTCTCTGTGACCTTTCCCAACCCCTCAGCACCGCTTGGCTGGGAAAGCTGGATGGTCAGAGAGGAGTCTCCTGAGGCTGGAGAAGTTCAGGCAGAGACAACCCAGGAGGAGCAGAGCAGCTGCACGAGCAGCAGGGACATTGCTGAGAGCCACAGCTACGAAGCTGGGAACTATTCATTTTCAGTTTAACGTGCATATTTATACCTCCATCCATTCATCAGCTACTCATCACCCATCATCCACCCACACACCCATCCATCCACCCACCCACCCATCCATCCATCCGTTTATCATCCACCCACCCATCCACCCACTATTCATCTGTCCATCCATCCAACCATTCATCTATCATCCAACCATCCATCTATTAATCCAACCATCCATCCATCCATCCATCCATCCATCCATCCATCCATCCACCCATCCATCATCCATCCTTCCATCCATCCATCCATCCATCCATCCATCCATCCATCCATCCATCCTTTTTCCATTATCCATCAATCCATCTATCCATCCACCAAATGCTCACTGAGCACTGCTTCAAGCCATTTTCATGTTCAAAGAACTCAGGAAGTTGCTTTTACCTACTTGAAAAAGATGTTACGCTTCCACGCTTCTCTATCTTTAAAAACACTGTACCTCGTGTTTGGAATGACCTCCCTCCCCATTTCTGATCCCTGCTTCTCTGTTTGTCCAATTTTTCTCTGTCCCTCAAGACTCAGCTAAGGGGCAACCTGCTCAGGGTAGCTGATTCCAGCTCAATAGGTCCTTGGCTGATGTAACCACTGCATCTTCTCACCAACCCAATAGCTGGTGACCATACTGAGTTGGCATTATTCACAGGATGCCTCCTCACGGAACTGTAGGTTCCTTCTGGCCTGGACCTTTCTTTACGCTGTGAGTGCTGCACAGTAGGCTATCCAAAAATGTTTGCTGGTAAAATGAATGAAAGAAGAAACCCTTAGGTACAGTGCCTAGGGCCCATGATCCTCATAGGTGCTCATGAGAATGTTTCAGTTTCTTTTAAATTGGAAGAAATAAATGAATATAATGCAGCCTAGATTATATCTGTTTTTATACCAATACAGTTGGAAGATATAACCTCTGAATTATATATCTGTATGTGTATGTGTCATACAGGCATACCTCATTTTATTTTTCTTCGCCTTTATTGGGCTTACAAGTTGAAGGCAAGTCCCTCTTCCAGAAAGATTACACCTTGCTGAGGTTCAGATGATGCTAGCATTTTTTAGCAATGAAGTCTTTTTTAATTAAAGTATGTACAATGTTTCAGTTTTTTTTAGACCTAATGCTATTGCTCACTTAATAGACTATAGTATAATGTAAACATAACTTTTATATGCACTGGGAAAACAAAAATTGCATGTGACCTGATTTATTGTGTTATTTGCTTTAATGCAGTGGTTTGGAGCTGAATCCTTAATATCTCCAAAATATGCTTTTCTCTCTCTCTCTCTCACATATATGAGATACATATTTTTATATGTTTATATATATATTTATATATGATATAAACATAAAGCCAGGGAAGATGGTTAAGCTCCCTAGATGAGAAGGTCTTCCAAGGCACTTGATTTCTTCAGATCTTTTCCAGATTCTTCAACCCACTCACCTGGGCAGGGCAAAATGTTGCACTCCTGGTACTCCAGGGACGGGCCGAGGCAGGGCAAGCCCCCGTACTTGGGCTCAGGGTTGTTGCAGACGCGCTTCCGGTTCCGAATGCCCCTGCTGCAGTCACGGCTGCACTGTGACCATGACGTCCAGGCTGACCAGGCCCCGTTGACAGTGTGGGCAGAGTATCTCCCGGCTCGCAGGAAATCACCAGAAAGGCCTGCCAAGGAAAAGGCTGAAGTGTCAGTTCTCAGGGCAACCAGAGTCTAAGCTAACTCTCACTGTGCATCAGCGGCCTGCCTTGCTTCTATAACTACACCTCAAATTCAGTTGAACACTTTTTGTACTTCGAAACCCAAAATTAAAAAAAGAAGCAGAGTGATAGCCTCCCGTAACTCACGCATCTTTCCCTGGAGATGCTATTAAATACGGGTGCAAATGAGAACCCACTTTGTGAATGTGGCAAAGTCTTCACACAGGTTCTGGGCCTTGTATTTGTAGTTCAGTCATTTTTCTGAGAAACTTCTAACAAAGAACACATAAGTTTCTCACTTCCCGTGGGAATTCTACAACGCACTGCCCTTGGACTCACTGTCGAGAATGTAGTCTGGAAAAATAGAACAGGATTCAGACATTTTTAAGCCTGGTCCTTCACCTGTTCACCTTTGCAAAGTGAAGTGAGGCTGGTGGAAGATGTGGAGTTAATGCTTCTGAATTTCAGGCCGTGGAGATACGTGTCTGCTCCAGGACCCTGCAACGGGGCTGAGTTCATGGCCCAGCACCTGGCACATCCCTGAGTGACCTTGTCATGTGGCAAATGCTCCCATGAAGTTCAGAGTGAACTTACTAGCAAGACATGTGGCCCCAGGAACAAAGGTAGATGCAGAAGCAAAAGCAGTCTGTGGTGGAAGTTTGGGGGCAGGGTGTCACCTTGGTAGAAACAGACCCTGAATACTGTGTGTCAGGTCTGCTCCGAGCGTTTTTCACCTAAGTCACTTTATTACCCAGAGTCAAAATTCCTGTTCATTTTAGTGAACATGCCACCCACTTATCATATTAAAAAACATCCAATAATTTTCTCAAATGTAGGCAGAGCGAAACAGGTTTTAACAAAAAATCTCTCAAACTATGCGCAGAAGGTCTGTTTAAGTGTGGAAGGCATATATGCCAACTGTTCTATCCACTGTGAAATACTTTTGTTGTTTATTTAAAAACTGAACCAGAAACCAAGGCAGGATGCTCTTTAGAGAAAATGGATTAGAAGACCTTTCTATGACGAACCAGCACTTTGTGGTTAATCAATAAAGGACAGCTATTCACAATTAAGCCTCATCTTGGTGGTTAGAGGCAAGTAAGTCCAATTTTGTATTTTCAAGATATCGATACCAAAAACGTGCAGATGGTCTTTAGAACCTGAAGCCATTAAGACACAAGAAAGACGAATTCTTTTTCAAGCCATGCCTATGATACACTTTTGGAGGAAATATAGAATATATTTTATAAGAGTGTATTAAATTTATCCTTAGTTTATATGACTAACATTTAAGACAATTATTAGCTTTGGTTTTCTATGTATCTGAGAATGGAAGGAATACAAAATCTGTTTTCAGAAAAGAGAATAAAGTAATTATACAGAGAAACACTGTTACTCTTTTCTTTTCTTTTTACTTTGATGTCATAAAAAATGAGATAGTTCACAGCCAGCTCTGAAATAAGGGAATAAGTGAATGGTATTTATTTGTCTTATTTAAATTGTAGACTTATTCATACAAAATTCTTTACTAACGCAGACTTCTTCCTTTCCCGAAGAAACAATGAGTAAGCTTGCTAGTTGCTGAACAACATTAAGCAGAAGAGAGAGTTAATATCATCAACTCAGTAGATAGTTAATGTCAACAGAAGCAATATGACTAAAAGTGGCCGTTGATGGCAAGTGTTGGTCCTTCAAGCATCCAGGCTGCCAGCTCTGAGCTGTCTTGGCTGTTGAGCTCCCAGAAGGAGGCCTGGAGTTCTGCGACCTGTGTGCAGCTGGTGGCCCTCACTCACAGCCACTTGTTTAGGAGCCTCCCTCGGGCAGTGAGGGAGGAGATTTATTGCACCTCCATGAATTTATTCCACCCACATTAGTCCAATGTGGCGACTCACCAGCTCTGTGGTGCCTCAAGGCCAACCACCCTGGGTCTAAAGCTCCTTCTCTAAAATGACACTGCTGGTGACTGTGCTTTCTCTATCACATTGATATTGGGAAAATAAGGTAGAATTATAAAGAGAAGTGCTGAGAAATGTGGGGAGGTGGTCGAGTGCAAGATATTACTATCACTGTTCTCATCAAACCACATCAAACCATGCTGTGAGGACCCATCTGTGAGCACTTGTTTTCTTTTCAGAATTGGCCAGATTTTGTTACATTAGATGAAACTGATAGGAAGGATGAAAAAAGATGCAGAGATGCCCAGGCAGAGGGTGGACTTTCTGGTCTACCCTAGAGCTTACCCCACGCTATTAATATGTCATTGAAGGGATTTATACACATACAAGGGCCAAAGCAACTTCGAAGACTATTAAAGGGTTCTCACTTGCTGTGCTCTTAAAAATTCTTTTATATAAATAAACACAGAGATGCACTTCTGTTTTCTTTGTCCACTTTAGACATGAATGAAACAAAGCTTATTGCAAATCTTAGTGCCAAAAGAACTATGGAAGGTAACTGACCCTTCCGTAATATTTTCTGATACTAAATAAATCTCACACAAACTATTGCAGAGCTGCTGTAAATTTAGTGTTCTTTTGACAGTTGAATTTACAGGACCATCTCAATATGTAACTAAATTTTTATAGTAAGGCTGTTAACTATCAGTTTTCTATGCAGCCGGTTCTGCTCTAGAGGGATCATTATTAGATTGTTACACCAATCTGATAAAGAAATAATAATCTAAAATCAACACCCTCTCCCCACTCTCCTATGAATGTAGAGAGGAGGCCACATGCCTGTCCATGGGAGTGGGACAGTCCCTACAGAGTTCCTACTCACCATCCGTGGAGCAGCCGCTGGTCCCGTCGCTGGAGCAGTAGCGCATTTCGATCCTCTGTCTCCCCACTTCCAGCAGATTTGGATCAGGGAGGCGGGCTTTGCAAGTGTACCGAAATCGCTGCTCATAGTGGCCCCCGTTGTCAGAGATGTTGACAGGTGTCCAGGGTGTCCAGGGCGTGGTCTTCTTCAGCTCAGGGCAGGGGTTGGTATTGCAGGGCTGGTACTCCTGGGAGAGAAAACGTGGGGTGTGTGCTCAGCAAACAGCATGAATAGAGCCAGGGGTCTTGTTCCTAGTGCAAGGCAGGGCTCTCTAAAACTTCACATCTTAAGACACCCCTCAGCTGCTGTACGAGGTCTGAAACACATTTCTGTTAAATTAGGCATTTCAGAGAATGTTCCGTTTTCAACTCAACTCTGAAAGGATCTGCACAATTTCTCCTGCGTCAACAATGAAAATGAGACAATGAATGTAATTGTATGTGAATAAAAATCGTGATTCCCGTATAAATCATCTTCCTTTCACATAATAAGTAACCCAGAATGATCATTATTCCCATGTTAAATTTAGCTGTCTTCTTTGAAAGATTAAAGTTAAAATGATGGAACCATCACTTGTTTTTTTGGACCACAGTATGTTCAGTCTGTGATTAATGAATATTTTAAGCTCTGGAATCACAGATTCAGACTGATAGACTAGTAGTTATCCCAGTGATAACACAATATATAATAACTTTTAGTGGACAAGAAGATTTCACAAGATTTCCCTGGTTAATACCTCAATGACATTTGTCGGTTTCTCCTTCCTTCCCTCACTACCAGCTACCTCCCTTGTACACAGGTTAGAAGGTCCTGGGAGCTGGGCAGAGAGATCTGAAGGTTGGCAAATGGGGCACAGTGAGTGTTGTGGGGTTGGAATTTAAGACTACAATTAAGAAGATCCATCTGAAGCACTAAAATATTTATTTGGTAAAATTTTTAAACAGCACGTCTCCAGGAATAGGGCCAAATACAAGGGGTACTGGGTTTGACTCTGGACAGAGCACAACAGCACAATTCCTCCATTTGACAACAAGGGATGTTTCATTAGAGGGAAAACCCACAACACACAATACACTCAATTATGGCCATACTTCTAAAATGATTTTTACCAGTGTTAAACATACATATAAAATAAGAGTTAAACTGCCCTCTAAGCTGTATTATGAAAAGAGGACTGTTCCATCCTTCCCCCATCAATTTTTAGTTAAACATTTTGATATTTATCCCACAGAGCTAACAAGAATTTTCCACCAGGCATTGTCCAGTCACTGTGCACTATGGAAAATGAGGGTTTAGCTCTTAACTCCCCCATTTCTTCAACACTGATGCAGCCCCCCATCTCCCGTCATCCTAATATGGTTAAGCTACACTTTTGGTCAGGTCAAAATCCAGTGTTTGCACTTAGCACTGGGGAAACACTATCCACACTTGAGTGGTGTAAACCATGATTGGTTTCTGTTTTTTGTCCAGTTCCCTTCCAATTTGGGTCAAGGGCTTCTCTGTTTTTGGGGGGTGGTTGTTTAGTTTCTATGAGCATATCACTAGTTCACCCCTCTCATGTATTCAGACACAATAAGAATTGTCTTTGTAAGTTTCTAGTTTGAAAAAATTATCACTTTAATATTAGTGAACTTCCAATAAGAGAGAAAGTAGCCATGTGTGTCCACACAACCAGCTTTACCTGAATGTCTATTAAAATCATGATTTTGTCACTATTCTAATTATTCTAACTAGGTTTCTTTACTCATAATCCATTCTTTTTATTATTTTTACAAGGGACAATACTCGGGAGTTCTGCATGTTGGTGACATCAAAGGCTTTTAAGAGAAAGCATGTGAAGGGATCATCGCCGCTTCTCCGATGTAATGCCCCCTTCACCTTTCCTTCCCTGGCCCACGGGTGCTGCTCATCTCCCCAACAACGCATCCTGGAAGACAGACGGCGGCATTTTCCTCTCTTTATAGCATCTTTTATTATGGCATCTTTTGGATGCTGCCATCTGAATGAAAAAATAGCCCCAATTCAGGCCATAAACCCAATCGTGTGAGAAGCTAGACAGGACACATATGAGCTCTCTCTGTTTCACTCGAAATGGAAGCCACATGATGGGGATGCAATAAACCTTGTCTGGGATCTCCCAGGCCTGTCGTGTGGAGGCACTGCCATCCCCAGATTGAAAATGCCACATGCCACTGTCCTCCCCTTCCTGACTCTGCACCCGCCTGCTGGGCCACTGTCCAGCTCTCCTGGCTGAAATGAACGTAAAGCATATGCTGCTTATGGACCCCTGCTTAAAAAACGAGGGTCTTTAAGTAATAATAAGTTCGATATCACTTGTAAAATCATATCATCCTACATCTTAACAAACAAATACAGAGGATATTTCCAATGATTCTTTAGCTTTAATCTTTTCTATGGAGATGAAGTTTTGTTTGTGAAATACATGAGTGACAAATATACTTTAAAGCTGGCTCATGTGCCTGAGTTGGCATCTGTGTGATGGCGACATGCTCAGCAGGCAGAGGTCACATGTGCCAGAGGTGGACACAGCTCAAGGATGAAGGTCAAACCAGGCTCATTAGACCTAAACCTCAGATAACCAAGTCCGTTCTTTTGTTCATAACTCCTCATAGCACAGATTTTAACACAATACACAGGACTTTCTCTTTTCAACTGCTTTTTGAGGTTTCATATGATCCAGTCACTTAAAATATCATATTATGAAATGCTGAGAATGATATGACCAATCTGTTTTATATCAATGACCAAAATTATGAAGCTATTCAAGTCAATGGTGAGCAATTATTACTTAACTGAGTCTGTTTGCTACAACTTACTGTTGAACTGTTGCTATAAGTCCCCACATTTGAATGGAACTTGAGCAGCATTACACTTAATGTTACAGAAAGAAGTTATTTTAAAAGTAGTTTTAGGAAGATAATTACTATTACTTGCCACATAGGATTCTTAATATTCTGGTAGAAAATGTTAAGTAAGAATGGTTGCTGAAATTAATCCTACTTCTGGGGATATATATATATATATATATATATATATATATATATATAAAACCAGGAGGTCATAGAGATATATGCACTCCCATATTCATTTCAGCACTGCTCACAATGGACAAGATATGGAAGCATCCTAAGTGTCCAACAATGGATGAATGGATAAAGAAGGTGTGGTTTATCTCACTAAAGTTAGAATAAAGTTTAAAAAACTAAAACTGATGCAAGAACAAAAAAAATAGTCAAGGAAAACAAATTTAAAAAATAGTTACGAAAGCAATTTCAAACAATTCTCCAAATATCTTCCCCAGTCTCTGTGTCAGTCAACAGTGATAAGACCATCCATTTAAAAGTTTAATCCCTTACCTCTCGGTCAAGTGCTACAGATGGGACTGGCTGTGTTCCTTCTCTCCTCCCCACTCTAACTGCCTCTTTTCTAAGTCAGGCCACCATCACCCATCACCGCAGGCTTGTTTCATACAGTCAAAGCCTGTATTATACTGGCTTAGTTGTCTAGTTATAGATTGCCTCTATTAATAAGCAGCAAGTTTGTCAAGAGCAAGAGCTCTGTCATATTTATTTCACATTACCAACCTTAAGTACAGTAACATATTTTTGGTGAATGGATAAACCATATTGATCAATTCACAAATAAGTCCATTCAAAGGGAATCTGCATAAATTTTGTGAACAAATTTTGATAGTTAAGTGGAGTCACCCATTTTGCTGTTGATTTTTCCTTTAAAAAACTAAATCAAGATTCTGTGGTATTAGCATCAATATATAAAAATTAAGCAAAGGAAGAGAATGAAAAGCCCAGAAATAGGCCTGCATGTATGTGGCTTATTCATTTTTGATAAAGGTGCAGAGCCAATGCAGTGAAGACAGTAGAGTCTTTTCAGCAAATGGTGCCGGAACAACTGGATAACCGTATGCAATAACTTTGATCAATAACTTGCTTTATCAATGATAATAAACTCAAATGGATCACAAATGGACAATGCTTAGTACTATAAACCTACAAGAAAACAGGAGAACATCTTTGCGACCTTAGGTTAAGCAAAGGATTCCTAGATACAATGCCAGAAGGAAAAATAAGTTGAATTAATCAAAATCAGGAAGTTCTGCTCCAGAGACACTATTAAGAGAACAAAGGACAAACCACACACTGGGAGAGAATGTTTGCAAGTCATTTATCTGATAACAGACTCATATTCATTATATGTTTGAAAAATTAAAACTCAACTATTAACTTCCAAGTGTTATAAAGAGACATTTCATTGAAGAAGATATACAGATGGCAAAAAAGCACATGTTAAAATAATGATAAAGATTTTTTTTTTTTAAGTGAACTAAAACCACAAGTAAGTCACCACACACCTATTAGATATTAGAATGGCTACAATAAAATAAAACCCAAGGAACCATAACCTGACACTCCCGAATGCTGGTCAGCTTGCAGAGCGACAGGGAGTCACACCCTGCTGGTAGGGATGTAAAATTGCACAATCCCTTTGAAAACTATTTGACATTTTCTTTTTTTTCTTTTTTAATTTGTCTTTATTTTTTAAAGTATTACAGATGTCCCCTTTTCTCCCTCTACTGACCACCCCGCTCCCCGCACCTCTCAGGCCTACCAGGTCTGTGCAGGGGGTCTACTCCCTTCATGTCCATAACCTAGTGCCTCAGATTTCTCATTGATAAATGGGCACAGAAAGAAACACATCATGATGATTTGGGAGTGTTAAACCAGGTAATGCATTTATAGTGATTATCAGAGAGCTTGGTATATGGGACATTGCTGGTCTGCACAGAGGCCTGGAAACAAAGATGGGTACAGAATACAAAAATATTAGTTCTCCAAAGTTGGTTGCTAGCAATCTCTCTCCAAAAAAATTCAGATGGTCATAAGAACCCATAATTATCCTAGCAGGGTTACATATAGGAGAATGGATGTATCTAACTGGTGAAAAGAGTACCCAAGTTTCCATGTATATTATTTCATTCCCTCTATAATATAATCATCTAGTGAAAATTATCTTCTAAATGTGCCGTTATCTGAGTTTATATCAAACTGACTTTTTATCAGTTCTTATTCCTTAAATAATTAGCTAAGATTTCATGCCCTAAAAGATAGCAGTAAGAACATTTATGTAATCTAAAATCCCGATATCGTG